TTCTGGTCTCGTTCTGGGGAAGGAGGAGAAGCCCTATGGGGCAAAGGCTTCTCCTAGCATGACGAGGCATTGCAGAATGCATGCAAAGCTGATTTGAGCAGATTTTAGGCTTGAATCCACGATAGAGCCTCTAGATGAGTTAACAGAAACCGATCACTTAAGATCGCTAGCAGAACGCCATGAGAGGCGCAGTTCGACTAGGGAAGGGTGAGAGCATGGAGTACGTCCGCTACTTCTCATCGACGTGTTCATTGCTTTACACAAGTTGACAAATGGTCACTGCAAACCCTAGCTGGGATCACTTCGTGACTTCAAAGGCTTTGCAGGTCTCCAGTCTATGGCTCGATGCGCTGATGGGAAGTAGCGGAAGTGCGAAGTGCCTCCACCCCTCCCTTCCTCCAGGACGAACTGCGCCCTATGAAACAGAAGGCTGAATAGTAGTCATCAGCCATGTTGCTTGAAAATCGACAGGCGAAACGCTATTGTTCCCTAACGCCCATTGATAGCACGCTGTCTAATTTATATATTCCCGTTTAGGTATTTGACCATACGAGACCGCAGAGCAGCCGCAGAAGTAATGCGAAGTCGAAAATGTGTTCTCAGCGTAATCAAGGTGAGCTTTCCATCGCTGGGTTCTCTGTGTTGGAACTTCCTTCAAGGTGCTACCCAAGCAGCAGCTGCCGAAAAAAAAACTTGGAACAAGCCAAAATATCGGAATTTTCCATCCAACACGACAAAGTACTTTTAGTTGTGTTGGATGTGCCGCTAGGGTAGGTCGTTGACTTATAGTAGTGTGGTTGACACTTGTAGGCCTTTAGCAAATTGTATTGCAGACCTAAGCAACTCTATTGTTAAGAAGGGAATACAGTCTGGTTAGTACTCTGGACAACTTGATTGTTGTAAGGTTTATAGTATTGTATGCTCGTTTTATTGTAGGTCTGAAGAAGCTGCTACGCAGCGAAAGCTCACCAATAAAAATTATATATTGAGTCCTCATCAACCATTGTTCAAGAAAAAGACTATGGATATAGATAAAGTATGCTTGGAAGAACTATTCTTAATTCAGTAGAAGTGACCCTAAGCAAACACAGAAGTACGTGAAACTGGGTTCAGCACCCAAGGCCAGTATCGGGATGACAAAATGAGCGAGTAAAAGCATCTCAAAAATGCCTGACCTCAACCCCATCAGGCATCTTTGAGATGAGTTGAAGCAAAGGAAAGAAGACCACCAACACGGAGGGGCAACTCCATGCATTTTGAGAAATTTCGAGTCCAGTATCCGTAGATAGCTGAAGCTTCTGTGGAGTCGATTTCAGCGATGATGAAAGC